CCAATCCACCCTCCCCCCAGCACCTCCAATCTCAGAACCTCGGCCTTGAACAATGTAAGATCTATTTACTTAACAAAATATTATTTTTGGTCTTTTTTTATTTTTTTTATTTTTTCTTTCCTAAAGTCGAGTTTGTGATTTTTTTTACTAAATGCATTACTCAGTTGAAGCGGACGATTTTGATGATGACACGCCTCTCGTAGAGCTCCGGAGGGGGGATCGACTGCACAAACCTAGGCAACCATTCACTCCTTCATCTTCATAGTTAGTTTGTGTCTTATGTATTGAAATTTGTGGACATATTCGTGTGTAAACCGTATTTTGATCTTTTTGTATATAGTGTTTCTTTTATAAATTATTGTTTTTCATCTTCTTTTATATGTTGGGTTGTTGATATGTGTATGTTGGTTGAACAGGTTGGTTTCTTCAAATGGATTCAAAAATTTTGTTTTTTCTGCAGTTTAAAACGTATTCTGGGAATACGTTTTATATTTTTTTGTTTATAAAACGTATTTTCAGAATACGTTTTTATATGAATCAATTTAGGGCAAAATTGAATTGGGGCAAAATTGAATTTGGGGAAAAAATTGTACAAAAAACGTATTTCGGAAATACGTTTTATGTTTTATATTATTTTGTCCATCAAAATTGTATTTTCAAAATTCTAAAAATTCATTTCATTTAAAATACGTATTGTGAAAATACGTTTTATAACTCGAAAATAATTATAAAATTAATTTTAATTATAAAACGTATTTCGGAAATACGTATTAATTTTTTATAAATAAAAACGTATTTACGGTATACGTTTTTTATCAAGGTAATTATCTTAATTAATCATATTAACTAAAACCGTATTTCAAGAATACGGTTTATTTTTAAAACGTATTTTTAAAATACGTTTTATAATTAAAAACGTATTTTCAGAATACGTGTGTTTGATTTATTTCCACCCTGTTTTNCCAGTTATTTTTGTTTATTTTTAAATAAATAAATAATTCTGCCCCATTTGAGTATAAAAATAAATGCGCTTGCTGAAATTATAGTTATCCAAAAGCTAATATTTGCCCAACCTTAGCGTTATCCATATCTTTCTCTTCAAACTTATAGTGTTACACGTGTTTTTGCGGTTTAACCTACCCGTTTATGCTTATGCTTTTATGATGTAGAGCAATACCGACCCGCTATCCATATCTTTTACGTTGCGAATGCTGTGGGATACAAATTGCTATTAAGAACTCGAAAATTGGGCTCGATCTAAATGTTGCTTTTGTTATGATCTAAATAGATTGATTATATTCACAAGTCTTTTGGATTAGTTTCCTTGGTAACAAGATAGTAACATTTCTTGCTATAAATAAATCAGAAATTAGCAGAAAGTGATTTTTTAATTTTTTTTGCTATAAATTAAATCATTAGTTTTGCAACATGAGCAAAATTCACCACAAAGTCTACAAAAGAGTGCAGTTTCACGAGGCAGTAAGTAGCCAAGGTCAATTTTCTGCTAAGCAAAATTCCTGGTTTCAACCATTTTTCAACCTAAAATAATCGCATAAACAGAGCGCAAAAAATGTCTTCACATACATTTCAAACAATTTCTACCGACGCTTTTTACCACCGCCCTTCTTTTTACCACCTTTCTTTCTCTTCCCCTTCCCGTGACCACGTCCACCACTTTTATCTTCATCTTGAGACCGAGGGGCAGGAGATTTTAATAAATGCTTAACATCGAGAACACCATTTCTAAAATTACCTTCGCTGGACTTCAGAACTCTATCCTCTGGCCGGCGCCTTTCCACTGGCTTTTTAGACGAATTGCTAGCGTAAACTCCGAATCTTCCAAGTATTGCATTCTGTTAATTAAAAAAAAGAAAAGTTTAATTATTTATATTTATCTTTATGAATATTTGCTAAAGTGCAATTGCAAAGAAATAAAGAAGATGAGAAGAATGTGTGGTGACCTCTTGAGCCATTTTTTCTTCTCTTTCCTTTTGCTTCTTCATCATGACTCGTGCCACACTAAGAGGTAGTCTTTGTTTCTTTTGAGGCTGTTCAGGAGAAATCGTAATTCGTCTTAGGTAATTTGTCTGAGTTTAACGTGGAGTGTACTATATTATTGTATATAGTTACCTTTCCACCAAGTGAAACTACTTTCCTATTCTCCAAGTCTTTCTTCTGCTTCCATGTCATATGTGGGGTCGCTGCATAGTGTGAAAAGCAAACACGTCGTAAACAAAGTAATTGATAATATCATGAAAATTTTCAAATGTGTAACCTTAGTCTCCTCGAAACCCTGAGAAAAATTTCACCAACAAGAAAAAAAAAAAAAGATAAAAATATCGAAAAATAGATAGTACAAATTAGAGTCCTGATTACTACATATCCTATGACTTCACAGATATTATGAAAAGAAATACACCATTGTTATCCCGCTCCCAAACCTAGAATAACAACTTACAAGTAAAAGAAAATGGTTAATGCCAATAAGTTTTTTTCATACCTATAACAATATACTAAGTTTACTTTACATGCATATAATTTCAAAGATTGGAGCAATTTGACATTACCCACAAACTCGATATCTTTGAGGATAGACCTGATGTCCATTTTTGGTTCTTCAGAATCAGCACCATGGGACGAGGACCCTCCTTTGGCTGCATGCCTCTTCATGGTCATCTCTACCCTTTTCTTACTGCAAACGGTATCATATGAGATTCACATACTTCGGCAGAATAATGATACAAGAGTAAAGAATGTCATATACTACACAAGGAACAAACTTCACCAGAAATATACAAATTTTTTAAAATAAAAAAACTAATAGTCATTTCAAATAAAGTCAACAGATTCATGGAACAAACTCTAACATTGTCTAACATAAAAATAACAGCACGGAGCTGTTCGGCATTCGTGCAAGTAACTTCGCAAAGTTTCAATACTGACAGTAGTTTTCATCAGGTCAACTAGCTGAACTGAAAATGCTTAGTTAGGGTAGTCTGTGATAGCCCATTTAGACTTTCATTTTGTGAAACGTTATAACACACTTCGATCATGAATTCAGCTTGACGAATATACGATTTCCTCGCATAGTATTATCATAAAAGTAAAACACCTGTAATTTTCAAAACTAATAAACACAGATCTTTTAGCTTCCCATCCAAACAAAATTTTCATCCATTATCCGAAGCATACACTCTTCCTTACAATACATAAATGAAAAAAAATAAAATCCAAAACCTCTCAATTCATACAAAATACATGAAACTGATAAATAATAATAATAACAAAATATCGCATATTCAAAATTTCAGCAAAGCAATCAACAATCCCACGATTGGGGGTGTTCATCGGTCGGTTCGGTCGACCGAACCGAACTACAAAAACCGAATTATTAAATTTCAAAAACCGAACCGACCGAATTAAGTGCCTAAAACCGAAGTATAACCGAACCGAATTGTTCAGTCGGTTAACCGAATTTTTACAAAAAAAAAAAACAAGTGAAACTTGCATACTTGATACTTCTAAAGGCATTAATTGAATAGCACATTGGCGCTGCAACCTAATCATAAAGAAATCAAATAGTGCAACTAAACATTCTCTAGCAATTGCCAACTAAACCAACTGACGGGTTCAAACTTCAGAGTACAGGTTCAAACTTCTGATGTTCTCCCAACTCCATCACAATTACAGATCCACAAGGACACAACAATACAAGTTTGGCAAAAAAGAAAAAAAGAAAAGAAAAGAAAAGAAAAAGTGACAGAAGAAATGACGGATGGACGACCATAAATGAAGATTCCTCTTGAACTTACCGAAACTGACGAATCCACGACCGGCGAAAAGGAGTTCTTGAGTCTTGACCGACGATAAGGAGTCGTAGACGCAGCACCGAGTCGCAGACGCACCGCGCACGCAGCTACTTGAACTGGAAAAGACGATTTGGGGGATGATTTGGATTGGGACGATTTAGGGCGGAGGAGCAGCGGCGGCGGCGGAAGATTTGGGGACGGCGGCGGATTTGGGGAAGAGACGAGGGAGAGGAATGAGGACGACTGAGTAGTGACTAGTGAGTAGGGGCGAAAGGCAGAATCGAATTCGAGTGTGTCTGTAATCTGTGTTTTTGATTTCTGTATGTTTAGGATTAGGGTTGGGTTAAAATATTATATTATAATAATCGGTCGGTTCGGTTATTTCGGACATTTGGAGTCCGACAACTGTAACCGACCGAGTCGGACAAAAACGGAAGCGAAATTTTAGTCGAATTATGCACCCCCTTACCCACGATAACAACGAAATTAAAGTAAAATATTCAATCCTCAGATCGGGAATATTAAATTCGTAGCTGAAAAACAATTAATAAGACATCTCAAATCCTTTAGCCTCTCAAGTTCAAATTTTATACCTAATTCAAACGGAGCTTCGGATTTTAGTAGAAACTCACCTCTTTTGAGCTTCGATTAAGAGTCGAGTATGTCTCGCCTACACTCAGTCTGCAGTTCGCCGTCTTTACAGGAGAATCGACCGTCGATTGATCGCCCGCGGCGTGGAGGATACTTCACCTCTTTCTCTCTGTATTTTTTCCCCTGAAAATGAAAACCCGCTTGACTCAGGGTCTTTTAACTCTTTGGGCCTCATTCATACATAAAATTCTGGGTCTCTCCTTAATAGGCCTAGTGCATCTGCCCCATGGGCCTCATAAATGAGCCGGCCCAGTGCTTATCAAAGGAAATTTAATAAAAAACTACCTATTTTGAGAAACAAAAGATCATACATTTAACTTATGCAATCACAATAATATTCATCTTAATGTATATATAAGTTTTAGCATGCCAAAAAATATGAAATACAACAGACAAATTATCTTAAAATTGAGAAAAAAATATGGAGCTTGGAGATGGAGTTTCCCTCTCGTGCATCGACGACCACCACAAGAGCCACCACCATCGACATTTTCCGGGCACTATCGTTAGAATCGTGTTACTTTTCTTAGTGATCGGCCTCACGTGCCTCGTCTTGAATCAAACGGACTATAGCGCTCGACTAGCTCACACATCTTATTCAATGTCAGTATGTCATCTCAATTTTCTAATCAAGAAAAAGTTATAACATTTGCAAATTTGAAGTAGAGTTATATGACTTTTTTTTAAAAATTTGTTTGTTATAATTTAGGGTAATGATCATGACAATAACTTGGAGACCATATTGAAAAGGGCATCCATGGAGGATCACAAAAAGGTAATAATAACAACTATGAACGGTGCATGGACCGACACGAACACGGTTTTCGATTTGTTTCTCGAGAGCTTTAGAATTGGTTTCGGGACACGGAGGCTCTTGAAGCATTTGGTGGTCGTAGCCTTTGATCGGAAGGCGTACGCTCGTTGCAAGCAAGTGCATCGTAATTGTTTTGCCCTGACGACCGAAGGCGTCGACTTTTCCGACCAGGCGTTTTTCATGAGCGGGAGCTATTTGAAGATGATATGGAGGCGCATCGATTTTCTGCGGTCGGTTCTTGAGATGGAATACGACTTTGTATTCACGGTTAGCGCTTTCTCTTCACTTCATTTATATAATCTCGATATGCGTTTTATTGCATTATGATTATAAGTAAAGACCGATGTAACATGTTTTCTTGTTACATCAATTTTCGTAATAACCCACCTAGCAAACATTTTCAAATTGCTTTTCGCCTTATTATATTGAGTTTTCTGAGACCAATGTACAAAGTAAGACTTGTCACATCGATTTCAAAATCGATGTGAAAAGACCAGACTTCTTATATCGATTTGATGTTACATCATGTGAAAAATGTTTTTTCTAGTGAAATACACGAAAACTGACAATACGATTTGGTATTTATATATTTAATTTTCAGGATGCCGATATAATGTGGCTAAGGGATCCATTTCCCAGTTTCAACCCGGACGCCGATTTCCAAATAGCGTGCGATATCTACAAAGGAAACTCGACTGACTTATGCAACTACCCAAACAGAGGGTTTACGTACGTGAGATCAAACGACCGAACAATCCAATTCTACAAGTATTGGTACGCGGGGAAGGACTATAATTCCCGGGCAAGCACGACCAAGACGTGTTTGGCATGATCAAGTTCTACCCGTACGTCATGCGGGTCGGACTCCGGATCAAGTTCTTGGGCACGGAATTTTTCGGCGGGTTTTGTGAGCCGAGCAAGGATCTTGATCAGGTGGTCACCATGCATGCCAATTGTTGCATAGGGCTCAAGAACAAGCTCCACGACATGAAAATGGTGGTCGATGATTGGAAAAGATATTCGGCTAGTGTCGAAAAAGTCGTGATGATCGGAGGAATGGTAGTCGGGTGGGGACGTGGACTGAGCCGAGGAGGTGTGGCCGGAACAAATATCCGGCCATTGAGTGATGACCATGAGTTATTGAGATGTGGTCAAAATGTATTTTTGAGATTTTTATTATGGAGAATAATTGTTTGTGACATGAATGTGTAAGATTTGATAAGCTGGATTTTAATTTATTGAATTCTCCATAAAGTATCCAACACGAAAATTCAAAAATGTAAAAGTGAATAGTGGTTAATGATAGTGTGAGATATTGAATCATAACTTTTGATTTCAAGCGTGTTTGGTGTGCCAATATACATGTATATCCAATAAAGGTTTTTTGATAAAGTCAATTTATGCTATAAATGCTTTTTCATTAAAAAAAAAAAAAAAAATGGCCTAAATAGATACTACCTCTAAATATAGGTGTTATATTGCAGATGTTCGTTCCGGTGATTGGTGAGTCATTGGATTTTTTACTGTTAGACAACACACACTTACATGAATGTATATTTAAAAAACTCGCGGTCACTATTAAATGTTTTGTTGTTATGTTCAAGTTATTTTCTTAAACTTGTATCTAATTGTTGGGCGGCCACAGTTTCTAATAAGTTATAACAATAGTAGTGTGAAATATCATACTTTAATTAATTTATATTGTATTCTAAAGTATGATATTTGAGTATAAAAAATTACTACAAATTATTGTAAGAGTGTGACTACCTAATCAGAGTTTTGCTGAGAGCAAATAGTAGTAATTGGATGTACTGGCTGCTAGTGATCTCATATAAGTAGCAAATCAACATGTATACAAATACGCAAACAGAGCCGGCTTTTTGGGGAGCAGGGTGAGCAACTGCACAGGGCCCCCAATTAATTGGGGCCCCATATATAAATATTAAAATATTATATATATAATAATATAAATAAAAAATATAATAATATATAGAAAGAGCCTTTTGTGTTTTGTCTATCCGGGGGAGGTTCTTTCCTACTTGAGAAGTGGAAGTTGTTATTAATAAAATATTAAAAATATATTATTCAATATTGTAATTAGGGGGGCCTAATTTTATTTTTCGCTCTGGGCCCAAAAAATGTTGGAGACGGCCCTGTACGCAAACATAATATATAGCTGTGTTATGATAAATCATAAAGACAAATATTCACATTTACACATAAATCACTTGCAAATCCACATATATACAAATAGGCAACTACATGTTTATTATGATTGCATATATTTAGTATTTACTATAATAAACTCCAACCATAAAGCTGAAATAATCATAGGCGTCCTCTTTTAAGAAACAAAAGATCATGCATTTACACACATACTTTTATCTTAACAATATATATGATTTTAGCTTCACAAGCATTTGATTAGACAAATGCGACCAAAATCAAGAAAAGGTATGGATTCTTATCATAAACATGAGGTTAACTCCACCACGTGCGGCGGCAACCACCGCCACCACCACCACCACGGCCGCTATATCTTCCGATCTGCCGTTAAGATGACATCATTGGTAATTTTTGCCGGCCTCATATACTTCGTCTTAAACGAGTCCAACTATCATGTTCGGCTCGTGGCTAAACCTTATTCGAATTCTTCGTTTTCATCTCATGTAAGTAAAAATCTCCATCCCTCTTGTTAATTATAAATGAATCGAACACGACGTGCAAAAGAAATATATACATCATATGTCATAATTCTGTTTATGTTGATACGTACAGTACGACGTTTTCTAGTGAACAATGTACGTACTTGTTAATTTATTATTTTATTTTTATTAGGTTAATGATAGTGAGAATAGCCTTGAGAGCATATTGAGAAGGGCATCTATGGAGGACAACAAAACAGTGATAATAACAACCCTAAATGCAGCTTGGATCGAGCCGAATTTCATATTCGATTTGTTCTTGGAGAGCTTTGAAATAGGGAACCGAACACAAAATCTTTTGAAACACTTGGTGGTCGTGGCTTTGGACCAAAAGGCCTTCTCGCGTTGCGTATCTCTTCATCCTCACTGTTTCGCACTGAAAACCAAAGACAATGTGGACTTCTCGGGCACAGCATATTTCATGAGCGACGACTATTTGAAGATGATGTGGATTAGGATCGATTTTCTACGTTCGGTTCTTGAGATGGGATACGACTTCGTATTTTCGGTACATTTCATCATCATCATATATATATACACACAATTGCATTCATTCTCATGTTGGAATTTAAGCACATCTTGAGTGTCGTTTAGTTTTTCACTCGTAAAACTGCTCTTAGACTGCCTAACGGTATTTTCGATACATTTCATTCTCATGTTGGAATTTAAGCATTAGTTTTTCACCAGTAAAACTATTGTTAGACTGTCTAATGATTAGACTGCATCTACAGGATGCTGATATTATGTGGTTAAGGAACCCATTCCCAAGATTCGACCCAAACGGTGACTTCCAAATAGCATGTGATATCTACCGGCACAACTCGACCAACATGCACAACTTTCCGAACGGAGGTTTCACGTACGTGAAGTCGAACAAACGCACGATCAAGTTCTACAAATTCTGGCACACAGCAAAGGACTATTTTCCGGGAAAGCACGACCAAGACGTATTCAACGAGATCAAGTTCAACCCGTTTTTGTCGCGGGTCGGGCTTCGGGTCCGGTTCTTGGACACGGCCTATTTCGGGGGTTTCTGTGAACCGAGCAAGGATCTCGATTTGGTGGTCACGATGCACGCGAATTGTTGTACCGGGATTTATAATAAAATACACGACATTAGGATGGTGCTTGATGACTGGAGAAATTACACGGCTTTGGCTGCCGGAAAAGGAAAGAATTCGATCCGGAAAGTGACGTGGACAGAACCGAGGAGGTGTGGTTTGGGCAACTTGATTAAGCACCACGAGAAAGTGAGAAAAGATTAGTTTATAATTTTGTTTGTTAATTTACAGTCAGATAGATGATAAGATATTTCTTTTCCAAAATAGTATATTGGGGAATAATTGCCAGATGTAGAGAATAAGATGAAGGTGACACATTTTAATGGCTATAATTTACTTTGTAAAACCAGAATAATGTTGTTTATACTTTATTGAACAAAAAGTAAACAACAATCATTAATAAAATAAAATTCAGAAATATAATACAATATCCCCTTCAAACGTTTAAACAAAAAGGAAAGGCACGCTGAAAATGAACACCAGCACCAATCACAATAGGTTCTCACTGAAAAAGAACTAAACAAATCTCAACTTCAAACCATATGTTCAGACAGCCAGTGCAAAAACTCAGCATTTGATCTTAGTGAACGTACAAGTTAAATCAAATCAGCCACATTCATCGGCATTTCATCAATCTGTGTACTGTAATATTGCTCGATATCTCTCAGGATTTTGATGTCGTCACTTTTAACAAAGTTTATGGCAACACCCTGCACATCATCACGGAACACACACGGCAACGGGTTATTTATAAAGGAAAACAGCAAAAAAGATTTAACAAAAAAAAGACAAAAAATAGATTTTAAGATTTCATACTGAATATACCATCCACCACCATTCTTAATGTAATTAAGAGATACAGTAAAGAAATATCTCAAGAGCCTGTCAAGAAAATACCTTTCTCCCAAAACGGCCAGACCGTCCAATGCGATGAATATAAAGCTCTCGATTATTAGGAAGATCGTAATTGATCACCAGCGAAACCTATCAAAACCCAATACAAAGCAGGAAAGAATAAGTAACTTACTATCTCATTCGTATGTACTCCGAATTTGAAATTGTAAGAAAGGGGCAACACATAACATAATAAGTTATCGAAGATCTGTCAAATCGTCAGAATACTGGCAAGTTTGATGAGCAAATTTGTCAAACATGGGAGTAGGTGAAAATTGTGAATCAAAATATATACCTGTTGAACATCGATTCCCCTAGCCCAAACATCAGTTGTGATAAGAACTCGGGTTTGGCCGGACCTGAATTCGTCCATGATTGCATCTCGCTCCTTTTGTGGCATATCTCCATGCATAGAAGATACGGTAAAATTATTCTCGCGCATTTTAGCCGTCAGCCAGTCAACCTGCCATTTCACCACATGAGGCATTCAAAATGCAGATCCAAAGCATTTAATGTTTGTGTTTTAACAGAAAAATCAGCTCTATAACACTATATAATCGTTATAACTAGCTACATGCTAGTTTCCTATGCCCCACCAAATATCTGATGCATAATTGCCGTTTCCTACTTTTCACTCAAGCAGACAGGAAATCTTTTAACAGCATCACAAATAGTGCTCTTACCATGTCTTAATTCGTTACTCAAATCTTTTCAGTTTCTTGTCACTGAAAAATAAATTAGTAGCACTTAAACCACAAACAGGCACATGCAGTCCAAACCTGAGTCTGATGGAAACTATGGCTATGTTTATTTCGCTATAACAAAATAATTGAAGTGAAATATAGTAAATAATAAATGATAAAGGAACTGCACATAGTTTTAATTAATTAATCACAATAGTGTATGTGTAATAGCATCGACATAATGAAGACCACATTTATGTTCACGAATCGGAAACTATTACCTTACGCTTAGTGTTGCAGAAGATAACAGCCTGGGTAATTGTAAGGGTATCATACAAATCACACAGAGTATCAAATTTCCATTCTTCTCTTTCTACTGCAACGAAAAACTGCTTGATGCCCTGAAAAACATATGTTCATGGGAAACAGACAAATAAGTCAGATACACTAACGGGTCAACTCATCAAACGCACAGGCATAACACTATCTACCTTTCTGTTGCTTTTGCAATTTAAGATGATAAATTACACCGTATATATCACGGGATGGGATACGAAGCCACTAAAATATTTTTTCCATGATTTTAAAGAATATTTAGAGGAGTTTTTACTCATAAGAAACAAAATTATGATAGAAAGACACTTACCTCCAGTGTCAATTCATCACGTTTTACAAGGATACGAACTGGATCAGTCATGAATTTACTTGTCATCTCCAATATTTCATTTGGGAGGGTGGCGGAGATTAAAACAACCTACAGTGCAACAATAAATAATCACAGAGTGACTCTTCAAAGTCCATGTATGTGACTTAGAGAATGGCTTAACATGTCAATCCTAGGAACCCACAGAGAGTTCTAAAAACACATTCGACATAAACACTAAGCATGGAAGCTAGGGAGAGGAGAGGAGAGAGGAGGAAGCAAAATAAATAAGAGAGAGAGGAAACCTGGAGCTCAGGTGGAAGATATCTATAAACATCATAAATTTGATCTTTAAACCCTCTGCTCAACATTTCATCAGATTCATCCTACAAAGTTCCGGAAAGGGAAAAATGTAAATAAAACCTAAACATAATCATTTCATCAGATTCATCCTACAAAGTTCCGGAAAGGGAAAAATGTAAATAAAACCTAAACATAATTAAGTGCACGGAAATAAGACACGATGAAGTGAACCAACTAATATATCAGAAAGCACCAGGGCAGTCAATAGTACCAGAATCAGTAATTTGATTGATCTAGTTCTTAAAGTTCTCCTCTTAATCATGTCACAAACTCTACCAGGAGTGCCTGACACAACTTGAACACCATGCTCTAGTTTTCTTATATCCTCGCCAACACTTTTGCCTCCAATGCAAGCATGAGCTTGAATGTTTATATAGTCACCAATTGCCAGTATTACTTTCTCTGTCTGAGCTGCCAACTCCCTCGTAGGAGACACAATCAAGGCTTGGACCCTTCATTTAACAAAGAAGTCAATTTACAAACATTAGGCAACTCAACCAAACGAAATATTAGAGCATTTTATCAAGAAATAAGAACCAAATAAAAATTTAGTGCAATTAATCAACTACAGACAAACCCCACTAAAGTCAATTGAATCAGCCTAAATCCCAATATCCATAAAAAACAGAGTTTCGTCCACGCTTACAAAGAGAACACCCAAACAACAACAGACGAATTCAAATTGCAGCTCATACGAGCACGAAACACATACTCGGAAGACTTGGTGTCAACAATCTGGCAAACGGCGAGCGCAATCATGGACGTCTTGCCCGTACCAGACTGTGCCTGGGCAATGACGTCACGACCGGAGATAATGGGGAGCACCGCCCGCTGCTGGATGGCGGAGGGCTTCTCGAAGCCGTAATTGTAGATGCCTCTGAGGAGATCATCCTTTATCCCCATCTCGTCGAAGCTCATGATGGGCTCCACGCCCTTCGACGTCTCGAACACAAGCTTCGCGTCGTTCTCCTCCATCGCCCTCCGCGCGCCGCCGCCTCTTTGAATCGCCGCAGCCATGCCGCTCCTCTTCAGTAGCGCAGGAGAAAGTATGTGCCTGGAAATTGGTGCACAAAAGGAGAGAAGGTCTGTTTAATGGCGCCTAGGGTTTGCGATTGTGATTTTTGGCCCCAAATTTTAATCTCTGTTGAAGATTAGAGACACGAGTTTGTTCATATAGTCTTATATAACGTTTTGTTATACAATTTCAGTTAAGTGCGTTGAAGCTCATTTAAGCCCAGTTATCTGGACCAATTAGGCTGAAAATCAAAAGTAGATACGGCCCAGAATAGCGCTGAAGCCAATTTAAGCCCAGTTACTTGGACCAATTAAGATGTGGGTTGAAGGTAGAGAAAATTATATGTTGAACGATCATTTAACAGATTGGTAAAGAGAAAATTCTCCCTTGAAGGTATGTAAATCCTGAAAACAAAAGCAGATACGGCCCAGAATGAGTAATAATCATAGTGCTTCAAAATGTTTTTGTATCACTACGATTATGTAAGTTATTAAAATTAAAGAGAGTAACATTATTTAAATATGAATTCTAACTTTGAACGTACAACTTATTTAGTTAGTTTAGAATCACATTATATTAAAATAAGTTGGAATTGATATATGATCTTTAAAAAACAGAAATCAAACTTATTTCAAATGGTCGTGCCCTTGATAGAGTCAATTAAAATTTTTGTAACAACCGACATATTGACTAATTTTACCAAATAGTTTTATTATACAATCCGTTAATTTTTCAGTCTTCACTTATAAGCTCTATTCTCTAACATCTTGAAATAACTTATAAATGATTCGTTACCTTATCAACTATCTGACTTACATTTCAACTAGATTTATCAACTATTTTCATTTGTAAATTGTTTTGTTTGATAAATTAAAATTTTAATCATGTCTTTGTGTTTAAACTGATTTTTACTTCAATCAGACAATTACATAACACTGAGTTGACCAATCATCATATGCTCATTAATTATCAGCTGACACATTATCACAAGACACTAGCTATTAGCTTATTTGCGTAACAGACAAAAAGTCACTAACAAACAAGAATATTTTTCTATACTTCAAGTTGCAATCTATCATGGTAACATATAGAAATGATGTTAATATATAATTGGACTTTTCTATTATTTACTGATTATAAACGGGTTTACATTCAATCTATCTTCTAAATAATATATATAATTCATGCTTAAATGTCATACTTTTAAATACAATAAAAATACAAGGCGATTATTAATTTCATAGAATAAATATATATATTTTTTATAAGAAAATATGACCTTTTTAACAGTTTGACAAAACGAATAATAGAATTTGTGTTAGGGCTAAGATCAATCTTCATTGCATTCACTTTCATGACACACCTTTTAGCATAAACTAGTACGTAGAGAGATATTAAATAAGTTATTTTCACAGGTTCTGTTCGTTTAAGTCTAAAAAAACAATTCGGTTACCATTTATTTTCTACCTCTTTTAATCAGCGTTAAGTCTAAAAATAATAGAATTATAATATATTTTCCACCTCTTTCAATGAGCGTTGAGAACATTAAATATGAGCATGTTAGGAATAACTTGTAAAATAGTTAATATATTATCTCATTAACACATTTATACTAATATAAATTTGAGTTTAATATACTTATTTATTTATTGGTATAAGAGAAAATAACAGTTTTACTTATTTGTGTGCACCATATAATACTTTATATTTTATTATAAACTTTGTTTTCATATAATATCATTATTATTCATATAATCAATTTAAAATATGTAAAATAAATAAATTTAAAATTAAATAGTGTATAGATGTTTTACAAAATATACATATATGTTTTTTCAGAATTCAATTTTTTATACTAATTAAAGAACTTTGATTAGCAAATACCAAAAACTCAATCTCTTCTATAATCAAGATTTTCTAATTTCCATTACAAGGATTTATATTTTTTTAGCATACTCTACAATGAAAATATATTTTTCAAAAATTTATTATAGAAATAAATCAAACTAAAAAATATGATATAATCAAAAATCATGGTTGCCAATAATATACAAATAAATTCTAAAAAACAATTATATATTTCAATTTTAATTTTTAACCATAGTAAAACAATTTAATGTATCTGGTGATTATCTCTTAAATGGTAAATTATATTAATTTAGAGAATAATTTATTTTTTATATATAACGAAGTAAAACTTAAGAAAAAATATATTGGCAAATATCAATTCACCAACTTGATTTCGCTTGATTAACTGGAAGAAAAAATTCTACCTAACTTGTTACGATTTCCTATAAATATTTGTGGATAAAAAGTGAATACTTGTGAAAAAAATTAATATTATGGTTAGAACTTAAAATATGCTATAATATTTATCTTTGACCAAAATATTATAAACATGAATCACGAAAAATAAATCTTGTAGATTTATTATTATGGATATCAATTAAATTTTTGCAGATATTAATAAAATTATTTAAAAAAATAATATTTTTATCATATTTGATTTTATCTTATTTGATAATTAAACGTGCATATGAAAACAATTAATGCATATATTTAAAAAGTTTTCAAAAAAATATGCATTAAATGCTACTAAAATTTTTTAATACTATTTTTAGTAAATGGTTATTCTTTTTATATATAGATATATAGATTTGTACGAGAATCTAATTCAAACATGTTTTGTCCGAGCTTAAAAATTTCGTTAAGAAAATTCCAAATTGAGAAAACAAATTCTGATATTGAACTATTTTTTCCACGAAAATGAGTCATTTCAGCCACCTCACATGTTACTATTCCACAATATTAATTTTTATTTTCCCGGACAAATCACACGATGAATTATCCCAAGTTAAAAGCCTCACATTTCAACAAAACTACCAACAATTCTTATTAAATATGTATCCAAATTTTGAAGATCAACACATGACATGCCAACTTTAGACAGATCACAATTCTTGAAGTGTGAGGCCAAGTCCTAGGAAGGCGCTGGATTTGCATTTTGGAGAAAGAGATCATTTATTAAATTAACCATAATCAATTAATAATTAATTATTTATAACGTACAAATCGAAGAAAAAAAGAACTTTTGGCCCAAAAAATGTACTTTTAAATTATTATTATTATTATAGTATAATGAGGGAATCTGGGAAAAGGCTGGAAATAAAATATTAAAATATAAGGTATTTATCTGTTTATTTACTTACTTTAGGGTTTTGTATTTGCTTAATTAATAATTAATTATAACGTACAAATCTAAGAAAAAAACAACTTTTTTGCCCAAAAATGTACTTTTAAATTAATAATAATAATAATAATATAGTGTAATGGAGGGAATCTGGGAAATGGTTGGAAATAAAATATTAAAATATAAGGTATATTTATCTCTTCTATTTACTTATTTTTAGGGTTTTTTTATAAAGACGACAAAAAGGCGTGCGAAAAGTTACGCAACACATGCCACGGGGCAGGCACGTGCGAAGCTCATCGTTCAAGCGGCCAGAAAAAGGAATCTTCCCAATTATCAGAAACAGACAAAAGTGACTTTTTCACAGTGTATCGCGCCTTCACATCCGCTGTGGAGCCCACACAAAGATTTGAATTGGTTTAGGTCAAAGGCTAGAAATTTCGAAATTTCATGAATTTTGCTTGTAATTTAAGTGAAAACTTTTAAATTTTATGAATTTAAAATAAGAAAGTTGTGCTTAAATTATAGTAGAAATATAGATTAAGATTTGTCTTGTAAATAAGCTTGGCAATAGAAAACAATGTTCAAATTTATTTCTATGTGATATTAGATTTTAAATGATAGTACTTCAAATTAAGTATTATTATTATTATTATTATTATTAATTGTTTATTCCTACTACTATGATATTTACATGTTAATTTGACAATTATAAACTTTTGATTGAAGAGTATGTTGTGTGATTTTTGACTTTAGTTTCAAGTGCTTTAGATAAGAGCTATGCTCGTGTTATTATTTTGCATGATCTTTGTTTCAGTGATTGATATGGTTGGACATCACATTTTGATGGTAGATTTTTTTACGACATTATTATTGTTTATTATGTATTTATTTATTGAGAAAAGTTGTCCATCACTTTACGTTTTGATCGTGCTTCGCTTTTGAAGTTCCATCAAAAGCGAGAAGGATATTTCTAAAGGCAAACCGAAAAGAAACTTAGAAAAAATGCTTATGCTTTTGTTGACAAAATGCTTAAAGCTCACTCAATTCAAGTGTGACAAAAGTGAAGAATTATATACATGATTTATCTCTTTAAAGAAAAGCATCTACAAAATTGCTACATATAAACACCACACATTATAAACACCAAAAATTATATTTATTGCAGGATACATGTATTGACACCTGTCCAAATTCTATTTATTGCAAGACACGTGTCAATATACTATTGGTGAATAAGTGTAGATGACTTCATAACAAAACTGTTATAAACACTCTATTAAACAGTGTATCTAATCAAACAATTAATTGTAGCAACTTTAATTGTTCATTTGTAAAGGTGTTAGATGGAACCAACCGATCGTAAGTTCGAGCAATGACTCAATTTATTAACGAGTTGAGCTTCCTAAAGACTACTCCCTCCTATTCATAATAAGTGTCGTTTTAAGAAGTTACACAGTAATTAAAAATATTTCTTTTGCCAATAGTAACTCTCTTTAACGAAGATAGAAAATGATGTTTTGAGAAAAAAATAAATAGTGAATATGAAAAAACATAGTGTATTTATTAGCTAAATGAGGGTAATAATGGAAAAATATATACAAAAGATCCAAAACGACATTTATTTGGTAAATAGTTAATAAAGCCAGAATAACATTTAAAAGTAATAGGAGGTAGTAGATTTTTTTCCCATAATTTTCCATAATTTAATTCTTTAAAAGCCGTGTTCGCCTCGTTAAAAATCAAGTTCTTCTCACTAATGTTGATAAATGAATTCCAAACTCGAACCCGTTTATCAATACATTTAATGAACCAACACAATACATAATC